ATATATATATATATATATATATATATATATATATATATATATATATATATATATATATATAGCCACGCTGTGTTGGTGGCAGAAGACGAGAGCAAAGAAGTGAATGGCAGCTGTGGCTGAGTAAACAGTCCTCCACTTCGAGTTCCTGCCTATCGTTTCCTCTCGCGACAGACTGGTGGACGTGCTGGGTACTGTACTGCAACGTCTTATGCCTGCTGGTCCTGAACGAGAAGCAACCACCACCACTGCTTCAGGGTCTTCTGATATCTATCGAAGCAGCCGCCGCCTTCAAGGACTACCACCACTGTACGGCCCCTTGGCAAGTTCCGTGAGGACAATGTTTGCCCCATCCGCAACCCAAACCGAGCATGACCCACTGGCTAGCATACCCTATGTCATCAACACGCATCGCACACCCAACCCATTCCAAGGTGATGCCGGTGAGGGTGTCGAAGACTGGCTTGACCATTTCGACCGGGTCTCTGCCATCAACGACTGGGACAATCGCCGTAAGTTGAAGAACGTGTATATCTCCCTCTTAGACGCGGCAAGAGTGTGGTATGAGAACCACGAAACTTCATTCACAAGTTGGCAGGAATTCCATCGGCAGCTTTGCGAGGCGTTCAGTAACCCCGAACGGAAAGAGAGAGCGGAGCAGGCACTTTCTTCGTGATTTCAAATGCCGAACGAGAGCGTAGCCATGTTTGTCGAAGAAATGTCGCGATTGTTTCGACGAGCTGACCCCCACATGCCAGAAAACAAGAAAGTGCGCCTGCTAATGCGAGGTGTAAAGGAGCAACTTTTCACGGGCCTAGTGCGCAACCCTCCTACGACTGTGTCCGAGTACGTGAGGCCACAATTATGGAGCGTATGCTTCGGCAGCGGATGTCGCAGTGTGAGCGTCAGACAGCCATGTCCGCTGCGTGCTCACTTGTACCAGGAGGTGATAACAGGGAGGTCCTCACAGAACTCATACGGTAAGTTGTACGTGAAGAACTTCGAAAATTTCATGCAGCGTCCCCTCCCAGTAGCGCTGCGTTTACGGACGTCGTTCGTAACGAAATCAGACAGTTTGTTCACTCCTCACCACCATCGCAAGTCGAACCTCCCACGCTTTCCTACGCGGATGCCCTACGCGCCTCTACGCCGTCGACGGCACATTTTGCTCATCAACCTACTGGGACCCCCAGACGCTTTCCAAGTCCAGCCCATCACCTGCCTTCTCAGGTCGATTTTCGTCCTGGCCCGTGGAAGTCCACCATCTGGCGTGCACCCCACAATCGTCCTTTGTGCTACCATTGTGGTGAAGTTGGACACATGTACCGCGACTGTTACTACTGACGAATAGGCCTACGCGGATTCCACCCAGATGCACGTTGTCCACGCTATGGTGAGCGCCCACAAGAAATTGTGGATTACTTGGAAGGTAGTCATCACGCTCCTGTCCCGCCGCGATGACAGTCACGGTCACAATCACCCCGTCCGTCCACATCAACGCACCGCGCCCGACCCGCCTTTGGGTCCCCTGGTGTCAGTGGCGCAAGCCCATGCCGGGGAAACTGAAAGCGGCGACCTCCGGAGGTGAGGCCGCTGTCACTCGAACCGACAAATACCCTCCGCCGCTGCCTTACGACGTGCCGTTAAAACATGTTTGTGAAACCGCCAACAGAACGTCCGCTGCCATTACTGTTTCCGTCGACTGTTATCCGGTGACTGCGCTTGTCGACACTGAAGCTGATTACTCGGTGATGAGTGCTTCATTGGCCGCCCGTCTACACAAGATGCTGACAACGTGGGACGGCCCTCAACTAATCACTGCTGGAGGACACCTCGTATCCCCTATAGGAAGGTGCACCGCCAGGCTTGAGATTTGTGCGTCGGCTTTTGTAGCATCATTCTTTGTACTGCCCAATTGTTCTCGGCCGGTAATTTTGGGCATGAATTTTCTGCAACAGTATGGAGCGATAATTAATCTGCGTGATTTGTTCGTCAGTTTTGTTAACTGTGTTTTTCCAGATTCCGACATCGAGAACGAACATCGTGGCGTGACCTTACGCGTAGTCGATGATTGCGTCACGTTGCCACCTCGCAGTAGTATCTTCGTGCTTGTTGGTGTCCACGGGAGCAGTCGATTACGGGCATCGCCGAAAGTAACCTGACGTTATTGCTTGATCGGGAAGTGGCCATACACACCGGCGCTGACTGTCTTTCCCGCGCACCCGTCGAGGTCACTGAAGAAGACAATGATGAAGACTTCAGCTGCCTTGCTATTCTTGCATCATTAAACGTGGCTGAGCAGCAACGCGAAGACTTAGAATTACAACCACTGATCGAATACCTTGAGGGACTTCGCCCACAGCCCCCACGTCAGTTCGTGCGTGATTTGACATCTTTCTGTTTACGCCAAGGCATCCTCTACAAGCGCAACTTTCATTCAACGAAAACTGTTTACCTCCTCGTCGTTCCTGCAGCTCTCCGCGATGATATTTTGCGTGCTTGTCACGACGAGCCATCGTCAGGGCATTTTGGCTTCGCGCGTACTCTAACGCGCATCAAAGACAAATACTACTGGCTGAAACTTACGAAAACCGTCCGGCAGTATGTCAAGACATGCACAGCCTGTCAGCGCCGCAAAACTCCAACGACGAAACCAGCCGGTCTGCTTCAGCCTTTGCGACCCCCTCACGCACCTTTTGAAAAGGTCGGGATGGATTTACGCGGCCCATTTACAAAGTCTACGGCTGGTAGCCGCTGAATTGTGGTTGCCACCGACTACTTGACCAGATACTGCGAAACACAAGCCGCCCAGCGAGCAACTGCTTCCGAGGTGGCTGACTTTTTCATCAAGAACATCGTTCTCCGCCACGGTGCTCCCGCTGTCGTCATCACAGATCGTGGTACTGCTTTTACGGCAGAGTTGCTCCGACAGATCCTGTTGCTGTGCGGCACGACGCACCGAACAGCAACTGCGTACCACCCGCAGACTAACGGGTTAACAGAACGCCTTAACAAAACGATTGCAGATATGCTTTCGATGTATGTCGCCAAGGATCAGAAGAATTGGAATGAAATCCTCCCGTATATAACAATTGCCTACAATACGGCTTTGCAGGAAACAACCGGCTTTGCTCCTTTTCGTCTGGTTTACGGCCGCGACGTCACCACAATGCTTGACACCATGCTGCAACCAACTCTGCCGGACACGATTACGCCGGACGCACATGTATTTGTTCAGCGTGCCGAAGACGCCCGGCAGCTGGCGCGCTTTCACATTTTATCGCGGCAAGATCAAGATGCTCGCCGATACAACACCCACCACAGAGCAGTAATATACGAACCCGGTGACCTAGTCTGGGTTTGGACTCCTCTACGTCAACGGGGACGCTCAGAAAAATTGTTATGTCAGTACTTCGGACCCTACCGAGTTCTTCATCGCCTCGGCGAAGTGAACTACGAAGTTGTCCCAGCAGACACGTCACACTGTTCTCGCAGACCACGCTCCTCGGATGTGGTTCACGTCTCCAGGATGAAGCAGTACTATTCGCGTTGACTGCAAGTCAAGAACTTTGAGATGTGGCGATAGCCTTCAAGACAATTGTGCATTACTTTCTTGCTTCTTTATTTTTCATCTCGTCCTTTTTCTTTTCAAAGGACACAGACATTTCTGACTACCTTTCGTTGTTTTTCGGAGCCATGGCATTTATGCGATGCTTCTTCTTCTTTTTTTTTGGGGGGGGGGGGGGAGAGGGTAATGCCACGTTTTGTTGGTGGCAGAAGACGAGAGCGAAGAAGTGACTGGCAGCTGTAGCTGAGTAAACAGTCCTCCACTTCGAATTCCTGCCTATCGTTTCCTCTCGCGACAATATATATAAACGCACGAAGGAAAAAGCACTCCAGCGCACGCAATCGAACGGCGGACCTCTGAGTCGTGAAAGCGGGGTGTTAACAACTGAGCCACCCCGGAGAACGTTCTTTACCGTTCAGACGGCGATCTATTTATATCTACCACTTATCGCTGCTGTGCTTTCAGCATTACCGAAAAGATGGCGCCATGAGCACACGTCGATCGCCACATCGCACAGCGGTGCCCGCTCTAATCTCCTACGCGTACGTTTCCCGGCTTAGAGAACGGGAGCGACGCTGCCTCGCGCGCCCTTCGCTGTGTTCAAAATCTTAGACAGTACGTAGACAGTCTGCGCAGACTGCATAGAAGACAGCACCAAGCCCATGCTCTCCGAGAATAGGAATACGTCTGAATGGCTTTTATGTGACGATGCACCACTTCGTGTCGAAAAAAAAGCCAAAATAAACAAACGTAAAAGTTCTATTTTCTTGCTTCTTTCGTGTAAAATCTAAAAAAATAAAGTTTACGCACATTGAGCACCTGCAGAAGCATCTGCTTCGGTGCAGACGATCATTCCGGTGAGATCCGATCTCCCTGAGCGTTTCGCTGAGCTGCCATCTTGTTTAGACAGCAAAGAAGCCTGCATCGTATTTGTCTACGATGCGGTCTTCTCGGAGCTGTCTATGTTGCTGGCTACGTGAGAATTGGAATGAGACTTAAGAGGGCCGCCGTCTATTTAGCTGTCTATTTATTCGTCTATGGTGATAACTGGAACACGCCCCCTATCTCGCGGTGGCGAGGAAGGGAAAATCGTACGCCTTGGCTGGCCTCGGGCTTAACGTGGAACGATTCTGCTGCAGTTACCGGGCACACAAAGGTGACCGCAATCATTGCAGCCCCCCTTCGCGAAAAGCGCGCGCTTTTCAGACTCGGCGAAGTATCAAATGAGACGCTTATTCGCGTGTATCCGTACCTGTGAGTACGTTTCGTGCGTAATTTTTGCGCAAGAAACGCGGGAAATGTTTTGATCTGCTTTCCATTCCGCGCGTGATCTTTCAAATTGTTGCTATGGCGTTCATTGCTTTGCCTTTGCGTCAAAGCTGTGACTTTTTTTTTATTTGTGCCACAAAAAGCCTCTGACATTTTCGTTATGCAGATCATCCCATCTGAAGAAAGCCACGAACGTGCAGTCGCGTGGCAAGGATTCCAAGGCTGAAGAACACCAGTGCGGCTTTTGCAAAAAGATGTTGCGCCGCAAGAGCGCCATGAAGAGACACCAGCTCACGCACACCGGAGAGAAACGGTACTCGTGCTCGGAGTGCGGCAACAAGTTCGTTCGTAAGGAGAACATGAAGCGCCACAAGCGAATGCACACCGGCGAGCGGCCGTTCGAGTGCGACGTGTGCGGCCAGAGGTTCACTCGCAACGCCGTGCTGGCGAACCACAGGCGCCGCCACACCGGAGAGAGGCCCTACTCTTGCTCGCTGTGTCCGGCCACGTTCGGCACCAGGTTCGCGATGACGACGCACACGGCGGGCCACAAGCGCAAGGCTCCCTACGAGTGTCTCATGTGCGGCATGAAGTTCGTCTCGGGCAAGAAGTTCGAAAGTCACGTGCGCAACCACTCGGCGAAGAGGCCGTACGTGTGTCACCTGTGCTCAACCGACTTCATTCAAAAGTACCAACTACGCGTCCATCTCGCCAAGCACTCTGGTGAGAAGCCCCATCAGTGCAACGTGTGCCACAGGGCGTTCTCGAGGCGTGTGTCGCTCGTGAATCACATGAGCACCAAGCACAATGCTGAGGAAGATTGACTGAAGAAGTGGCAGACGCATCTGTCTTCCTTACTGGCATTGAGTGCGAAAGCATGATGTGGCTCTATGTTAGGATTCATTGAGTTCGTGCTATTTCAATTTGCATTAAAGTGACTTGTTATACGACTTCGTGACGTAATCGCATGGTCACGTGTGTTATTTTTTCGCGATGGGGTGGTAACCTCAAAGTACGCTTGACGAACACTGGATGTTCTCGATTCGTGAGGAATATACATTTAATGCGTTCTTCGGGTAGCTGGTGCGTTGTCGGAGAAATATTGGAGGCACAAAGTAACGAGCACGAGAAACGACAGGACTGGCGCCAACTAACAACGGATATGTTGGAAATAACTTTGCATCTTAGGTAACTTTAAGCCCATGTGCATGTCACATGTGTAATCACTGTTACAAATTGTCATACAACCTCAAGTTATCAAGAGTTGTGTAAAAGTGGAATTTGCTGCTATAAACATTGACAGATCACACACTGACGCGCAGCAATATATAACCACAAATTGCACTTCTTAGACCAGTCTTCATAACTGAAGAACGCCTGTCAGTCTGTAACGGTGATTACCCATTTGACTCGCGTTTGAAGTCAACTGGGATGCAAGGTTATTTCCAACAAATCCGTTGTTAGTCGGCGTCAGTACTATCGTTTCTTATCCTCGTTCGCCCCGCCGTGGTGGTACAGTGGCTAAAGTACTAGGCTGCTGACCCGCAAGTCGTGGGATCGAATCCCGGCTGCGGCGGCTGCATTTCCAAAGGAGGTGGAAATGCTGTAGGCCCATGTGCTCAGATTTCGGTGCACGTTAAAGAACACCAGGTGGTCTAAATTTCCGGAGTCCTCCACTACGACGTCTCTCATAATCATATGGTGGTTTTGGGACGTCAAACCCCACATATCATCTTTTCCTCGTTCATTTATACCATCAATATTTATTTGACCATGCACCAGCTAGTCCAAGAACCCATTTTAGTCGCTTAAACTAAATGTCATCCAACTTTAGAATGGTGACCATGACCACCTTTTGGAATACTACGCAGTCTGATAAAGATAGATCACCACTTAGTACACGAGACGTCTACATTTAAGGCCATGACACGTATGCGCTGTACAATGCCACGCTACCCTGCGCCATGCCTTTGGCATATGGATGCGGGTCTGCCCAGGGACACGTCCCCCTGTCTGTTACACAACTTCATCCGCGCCAGCACTGTTGCGTTGGGGAAAGTAGGCGGCTGCACAGTTCCTATGTAGGGACGTATACGATTATGGCTGAGGAAGGAACAGCTGGATGGAATTTGATGAAGTTGGGCGTGAATTTCCAAGTGGCTGAAGAAGACTGGTAAGCTTCCATTGATGGCTTTTGCTGAATTATGTCGGTATGGTCAATATTTCATTCTTCAGACGATAATTATAGCGCGAGAACAGAACAACGACAAAGGGACAAGATAAGTTGTCGTCTATCTGTTCTCGCGCTATAACTATCTTCATGTTATACCAACTAGCCCAAACCGCCACACTTCTAATTTACTTCGAAGATTACTAGACAAGAGCTAACACAAATTTTGCCTTGTTGTATACACGGACACCACGGTAAATTGTTGGGTGAGTTGATGTCAGTTCACCGAAACGTGTGCGTGCATACATGAAGCTGAGCACGAAACTTAGGCTGCGGTAAAGCCAGGTGAGCAGATCTTGCGGCATATTAGTCATAACGCTGTTCTAATGATCGTAATGCGAGAAATGACACAATTGACGCACAGAACCACATAACACAGCTGCTTGAGGACACAGAGTTTGTCTGGATCCTTTGTGTTTTTTCTCACTACATTGTAATTATTAGCAAGCACCACTGCAACTAGCTCAAGAACAAGTCATTCTGCAACGCTGAATGCCCCAGATACGCTGTAAGCTTGAGTGGATTTATTTATTCTTTCATTTATTTATTCATATACCATAAGGACCCATGTGGTCTTTTCATATTAGGGGGGGGGGTATACTTACAATATTGCAGGGTTATGTCTACGAAAGAAATGTTTACACAGAACATGCGAAAAAGAAATAAAAGTAAACAGCACAAATTCGCATCACAGAAAATATGGTAATGCGATGCAGCGCTCAGCGAGGCATGAAACAAGGCATATAATTAAGGTAATATTGGCGCTAGACTAAGCAATAAAAAAGCTACAAAGTATTACACTTCAACATTCGACATCTGCTTTAATCTGCTGACATGTGTGCCGTGATTGCACCCCATTGCAACATCGCTTGGCAGTTTATTGTAATGATAAATCACAAGAAACAATGGTGAGTCACAAAAGAGGTCAGTACAGGCAAACATGGGTTGCATTTTGTAAGCATGATCCAGGTGTGGGAAAATGCAATGAGCTGGTTTAATCTGTGAATGTAAGAAGGATAAATCACTGAAGTAAAGCCTGTGGAAATGAGACAGCAGTGCGATAAGCCTACGTTTTTTCTTGAACAGGTTATTTCAACTACGTTCTAATAGCTGTTATGCTATATACCCAGGAATATTTTCCTGTGCTAAAGCGGGCTGCTTTATTTTGAATGACCTCAAGATTATGAATAAGTTGTTCCTAGTTGGTACGTAAAATAAGGGCGGCGCATTCCATTTTCGAGCGAACTAAAGTTGTGTATGTAAGAAGTTTGGTGGGCTGGTTAGCAGAGTGCAAATTTCGTTTAATGAATCCTAGAGCTCTTAAAGCCTTACTGGCTATTGCCTCAACGTGAGTATTCTATAAGAGGTTGTGTGCAGGATAAACGCCTAAGCATTTTATTGTGTGAACATTTTTCACTGGTATATTGTTAATCATGTAGGAATGTCACTCAGGTTTCGTAGTTCTTGTAAATTGAACGTACTTCACTCCGAAAGCATTTATTTTCATTTCCCATTGATAGCACCAGTGGGTTGTTCGGTGAATGTCAGATCGTGGCGTGCTCACATCGATATGGTTAGTAATTTCCTTCTTAATTACACAATCTTCTGCGAAAAGTCTGATTGAGAATGACAATTGATTATTTAGTTCATTGACCTAAATTACGAATGTAATTGGCCTTAACACAGTACCTCGTCTACTTTCCGGCACAACGCGAGCACGTCCTGTATGTAGAAGACATACGACTCAGTTTAGGACGGCACACAAGTGGCGAGTTCTTTTCGCGCTTCCATTTGGCGACTGGACGGGTCCCCAAAGATGTCGCGTAGTCGCTCCTTGAAGATATCCCAACTGGTGATCTCGGTCTGATGGGCGTCGAACCAAACACGTGGGGTGCCGTCCAAGTAAAAGATTACGTTGGCGAGCATCATGGGTCCCATCGGTGTGTCTGGCTAACACACTCGTACATACGGAGCCAGTAGTCAACGTCAAGCCCAGGTTGTGCGGAGAACGTACCGGCTGCAGCTACAGTTAGAGTCACTGACGGGTTGTTGTCATTGGTAGCCATGGCCGGAGGCTGAACGGTGCGGCCACTGCGAAGCTTCGTGGTGAGGACGGGGAATGTTCCACCTTCACCAGATATGTTACGGATAAAACGCAACGCCTTATCGACGAGGCTGTGGATCAGATGTGTTTAAAACCAGCAGTAGTGGCGGAACCGGTTCACCAGCGATTGAGCGGAGACCACCCTTCATCCTATTCGTCAGGCACACACGCACATCGTCCCACAAAATGTCAACATGCATGTAGCATGATCTCCAGCGGCAGTGCCGTCTCAACCCATCTCGATGTCAACGTCAGTGGGAGAATGGTAAGGCTTTAAGCGTGCCACACGTACAATATCGGTGGTCTGCGGTGCAGTTGAAGGCAATGAGGCAGCAGGGGCAATTTCGTATGTCACAGGAGTAATTTCACGAAGGACTCGATATGGACCTGTGTAGCGGGAAAGAAGTTTTTCCGACAAGCCGTCTTGACGAGTCGGGGACCTCAGCAGCACCAATGAACCGTGTAACAAGTGCACGTAGCGGTGCCGTTGATTGTACAAACGCCGCTGGTTCTCTTGAGAGGCCAGGAAGCGAGCGCGGGTGATTTCGCGTGCGTGGGCAGCCCGGGTGATAGCGTCAAAGGCATATTCGCTGGTCGGTGTCGTGGTAGACGGAATGACTGTATCTATGGGTAATGTAGGTTCTCGGCCGAACAACAGAAAAAATAGGGAGTAAGCGGCAGTGTCATGGCGAGAAAACTTGTAGGCAAGTGTGACGTACGGCAGCGCGAGGTCCCAGTCGGTATGGTTGGTAGAAACATACTTAGCGAGTATGTGTGCAAGAGTTCAATTATGACGCTCCGTGAGTTCATTGGTTTGCGGGTGGTATGACGTTGTTAGCTTGTGTCTCGTTTGGCAAGGCTGCAAGATGTCGGCTATCACCTTCGACATAAAGGTGCGGCCACGGTCTGTAAGCAGCTGCCGTGGGACTCCGTGTTGCAAAATCACGTTTTTGTGAAGGAAGTCGGTGACATCTGTGGTGCAGCTTGTTAGAAGAGCTCGTGTAATGGCATAACCCGTGGCGTAGTCGGTGGCCACGGCTATCCACTTGTTACCCGAGGAAGACAAGGGGAAAAGGCCAAGTAGGTCCAAGCCAACGCGAAGAATGGTTCTGACGGAATGTCAAGTGGTTGAAGGCATCCGGCGGGAAGTGTGGCTGGTGTTTTGCGGCGTTGGCATTTCTTACAAGCCACAACGTATCTTCTGACTGAGTATGCAAGCCCTGGCCAAAATAAGCGTCGGCGTATTCGGTCGTAAGTGCGTGACACACCAAGGTGACGAGCAGTCGGAAGGTCATGAAGTTCATGTAGAACTTCCGAGCAAAAGTGTCTCGGAATGACAATCAGCAGGGCCGGTCCTTCCGGCTCAAAACTTTGGCGCTATAATACACCATTGGGGAGCACGAATGAGCGATGGTACTGATTGGAAGTTGGTGATTCGAGGCGCTCAATGATAGCACGCAAGGACGCATCATGGCGCTGCTCGTCACCAA